CACCATGGAGTTAATATGAGTAATATGCCATATGTATTTTAACAACATTACCTACTCCTTGAAAATATAGACCCAATTAGTCAGCAATGTAGGCCTACTATGCCATATTTTGAACAATAATTAACTACACATATTTAAATGAAGCAAAAAATAATATCTTGCCAAACTAAATTACAGTATATCGGGATACGTAGCAATTGGTGGTACATGCTTTATGGTTTAATACCCCTATACATATGTGTTACACTATACTGTACAGCAGAGATGGCCATAAAAATCGGTCAGAGGGCCAAACAGAATTTTTGATTTAACGCCGAGGGCCGCACCCAAACTTTGATGTTTGTAATGTACTTCCCAAAACCAACATGCACTGCTTTTATACCACTTTATTCTCAGTTTTGATATTACTCTTTACAGATGATCGATGTCGGGACATAAAAAACAAGGTGTTTTCTTTCCGAAGATGTTTGGCGGGCCCCCAAACATAGGTTTTTAAATTCATTTCCGCGGGCCGCAAGAAAACAACTCTCGGGCCGCATGTGGCCCGCGGATCACACTTTGCCAAACTGCACTGTACAGTAATATTTTAAAAAAGAAAATTAAGTTTGTCATAATGCTATATGAAAATTAGACCAACCATGAGGGCGCTATAACAAGTGCAAACGATGTCATTGTGCAACATTGTACGTATTATGTGTTACAAAATTCCAAATGTCCATTATGAATATATATATTTGTGACCAGCTCTGGCACAACCAGCCATTTGTGGAAAAAAAATTCAAAATTTCGTTGTTGGTATTTTTAGATTCTTGCATGAATTCTTTTTAGAACAGTCATTATTTGATGGGAATTGGTTGAATATTAGCCAAGTTATGAATTTACTTCATTGGATATCAGCCATGTCAATTTTTAGAAAACAGTTTCCAAAGATTCCAAAATCAATAGTTTTTATTAAGATTTGTATTTAAAAATAATTTTAATATATTTTTGTGTTAGATTTAGTAACTGATAGTTTGCTGAATTTTTCTTCAATATATCTTCCTTTATAAAATGCAAAAACATGAAATGGTCAAAATTCTGATTCTCAATCGTTTTGGGTGTTTGTGCGAAATTATAAATTGCGACAAACCGCAGCTTTTGCCAGAGCCGGTGTCATTTATTAGTGTTATGTATGTTAATGAAGTTATGTCTATGTACCAGTGAGTTGGTGTAGGTCTAAAAAGATAATAGTATGTAGGCTACTATTATCAATGAATAGATACAATGCTTTTCTTTCTAAGATGCATATAATGTTCAAATTTATACAACTACTCAAGGTGACAATAATTTATTATATAGAAATTAACTTAATTTGCACAGTTTTTCCTAGCATCTTCAAAACAAATCTAGAATTTCTTTTCTAAACACACCTCACATTATTGTACAAAAGTCAGCCATCCCAACTAAGCCATACTAAGCATAACAATGGAACATTTAAATTTGTTTAAAATTAAGTAGTAACCAATAACACCAGTCAGTAACCATTGGAATGCAATTTATTTCACACACACACACACACACAGTGTAAGAAAAGTATTTTGTTTGAGAGTGTGCATTTGAGTCACATTTTATACCAAGTTGGTAACTTAATTTAATAATTGCATAATCCTTCTACCATACATCTACTTTTCTTATAAAAAAAAAATCTTGTTATTTGGAGGAATTTATAAAAAGACTTTTGCAATCTTTGCCACTACACTTACAATAATGTTGTTAGTTTCCCACTTCCAATCTACTACTGTGATAGCATTTCTCACATTTTAAGTTTGCAACAATCTCTAGAAATGTATAAATAATGGTATGTACAGCATTTGACTTTAAACAAAAAATCCAAAAGCAAGCACAGCTGAACCATAATAAGACCCAAAATACAGTTGCATTTCAAGGGGTCCTTAGTCTCCAGAAAGTTGCAGGAGTGTCCAGAAAATCAGGACAGTCGGCCTTCTACACTCCTGCATGCAAGAAAATACCCTATCTCCTGCAAATTCATGTCTCTACTACCTTATTAACAATTGTCTCACAGAAATCAGTAACAATGGGTATGAGAAAAATTAAATTCAATGTGTTATTAAGAAAACTCATTTTAACCAGATCTTCCAACTTGGAACTTGTATTGCATAAGTGGATGATAATCCAGTGCAAACGCGGCTTTATTCGTATATAAGAAATGGAATTGATTGGAATTCACCCTTCACAATTCAAGCTCAATTTGATAGGATGCTATATTAACCTATTGCAATGAGACATAATTACAAAGAGACATAATTGGGATGAAAAAAATCCCCAAAATAAACATGTTTTCACCAAGGATGAGTAGATGTTGTGCTAGCAAAACAATTTCTGAGTAGAAAATATATAACAATTTTTGAGCATACAATGATTAAAAATATCAATAACAAAGTTATAGTGATAAATAACATGAACAGTCACAAAATATAATATATATCTGATAAAAATATATTCAAAAATTAAATGGGATGTGTTGACTACCCAGTTAACAATTTTATGTTTTACTAACGTTGCAATTTGGTGTATAAACTTTTTTGCAGAAACATAAATACGTATTTACATCATAATTTCACAAATAAATATAGGTTCATACACATTGGTTCACAAAAATTTCCCTATTTTTTCCGTAAATTTCATACCTATAAATCAAAATTTCCAAAACCATATATCACTGAAAATAAATTGCCCAACATAATTTTCTGGGCGTGCAGCAGTGTTGTTCCGATGCGAAGTAAAAGCAATTTATTTTAATTTCCACATTGTCAAATATTTCCATAACTTTTCCATAAACAATTTTATTTTCCATGACTTTCAAGGTCGTGGAAAACATTGAGATCAGTTTCCATAACTTTCCAAAACCCATACAACCCTAAATTTACATTGCAAATTTGCTGTAACATTGTACTGGTATTAACAATAATTTTTGACATTCCTATTCACAGAGTTCGCAAACATTACAATAACATTCTGTGTTTGCTGGCTGGTCAACGGAAGTATATTAGTTAACTACATTATTTAAATTATTTAGTTAATTGGACTAATTAGCTATCTAGGCTAGGTATTAACTAACTGGACTAGTTAACTAACTGGATTAACACAAATTACATTTTAACAAAAGGCGAGCGCTGTAGGGTCAGTATTTACCGTTGCAAGTCTACACATTGCGTGAAAACAAACTTGGCCTCCAAACGTCTCACATCTGTGCAACCTGCGTTATTGTTTCAAAGATTTCAATGAATGGAAGAACATCCTTCCGATTTTACAACTTATCCTTCCAAAGTGTGTGGTAGATTTTAGTATGTTTTGGATAATTAACAGTTATTAATTTCTGGTCTATGAGCAAGTGCCCTGAGAAGCTGATGGTTCACCAGCTCAAAATTACCCCTTATGTAGGCCTTTGTTCACTTGAGCAAGGGCATTTGGACACTGAAACACAGGCACTTCTTCAGACTTATTCAATTAAAATCTTCAGGCCCTAACAAAAAAAAATAAATAAATAAATAAAAAATACATGACTGAATACATAAGAACAATAGAAAATATTACATATGCAAGGAAGGCCGAAACATGATTTTGGGTGATAATAACAGGAGGAAATTGGTAGGAAAGAAATACACTGTTGTGAATGGGAAATGCTGGCATCTGATTGGTTGTTTAAAAGATCAGGATCAGAATGCTCTAGTGTGAACTAGGCCATGGTATCACCCTATGCATATAACATCCTGTGATTGTGATACTGTGTACGGAATCATATATTCAGACATGCCAAGTAAGAAGGTACTGAAACAAGGTATTATCACTTATGGGACTGCCGCTTTAGTGTGCAAGGGAGTAACAATGTTTAAGCATGCGATACATCACCCGGGTTCATGTTATTAGTTATAACCACCGGTGATACACCAGCCTCTGAGTGAGCTTGGGATACTGCAGGAGCTTGAACATCAGCATGAGCCTGTGCAACAGCATCATCTTTAGTAATGTTGTACTTATCCTCTGCTGGTGACTTTTCTCTAGAAATGGCCATCTTTACCTAAAAAATATGATTCATTGCAAAATTAGTAGTCAGTAATGATAGTAAAGTCAGATAATACACAAAGGCAATTGATAAAACATTGTACTGTATTATATACCTCATACAATCCAGGCATCTGATTGGTTAAATAGCGGGTAATAATTTCAACCATCCCTCCTATGACGTAGGTTGAATAATAGTACATAAATTCAAGGGAAAAAAGGTACTATCACATTAAATGATGGCCCTTTTTTGCATTGTTGCAATATTATCTCTAGGACCCACTTATAACATTGATGTGTAATTTATGACACACATAGATTGTAAAGGGGACACAACATCTATGAAAGACAATGGCCTTTTGACCGCCTAGACCATAGGAAGTAAGCCTACTTGGTGGGTACTCTTTTCATTATGTTTTTAGGTCTCATAGAATCTATGCATGAGGAATATAAAACAAATAAAGAGTGCTCTAGATTTGGGGAACTGTGAAATCTAGAGCCCAACGGTGATATGGAGACTGTAGCCTACTACAACTATCTTTCCGAGGGCTAAATATGCATTTGTATAGTAGTATCAACAACAATATGAATAGCAATTTCATAATAAAATTTTTTAATAACATTTATTTTTCAAGTTTATTTAAAAAATTTATTACTTCTTTTCATTTTGTACCTAATTATGATTAAGAATGATAATTATTTGATTGAGTAATTAATCAATAGTAATTACAATCATATATGACTGTCTCTTATACACATCTAGATGTGTATAAGAGACAGGTCCGTACTGAGCCCAAAAAATCCGCATTGAAAATATAACGTGTTTATTGATTATTGTATATCCTTTTGTCCTATATTGAAATGGGGCTTTTGCTAATTTACAGTATAATTAAGTACAGTACAGGACGCATTAAACATTAAAGGATAAACACATAACGCTATATAATTGCAAACACCAGCAACCCAATGACAACTGCAACCAATATGATGAGAAACACCATGCCCACTATCAACCCTGTCTTAGAATCTGAGTTACCATCACACTCCTTAGTATTATCAACACCATCCTGAAATATACAAACCATGGCTCTGATGATGACCAAAACAACATTGAAAATAAATAAAGTACAACCTAATAAAACATTCAATAAAACGTAATTTAATACATAATAACACATACCATAAATACAACATAATATCATACAACAAAAACATAATATAATATAATATAATGTATAACAATATAATTAATATAATTTATTAATATAATTTGATACAATATTATTAAATTAAAAAAAAAGTGTAATACATGGATTAGGAATATTTGTGAAAAGGCTATAGCGAGGCTGTGATTTGCATAATATTGAATATTGCTACATCTTTAACTTTAGAAAGATATTTGCAAATGAAAGACACACTACTTTTAACTAAATAATAATAAGTCAATAATTTTTGTTTATAATGATGACAAAAGCATATAGACAAACATATAGGGAAAACCAGATTATAGAGTACATGCTAAAATTTTGTGATAGATGCGGACATTCCTTAATCATCACTTATTTTAAAGTTAATTTAAATTGTTTTAGTTAACATCTGGGGTTAACATGGTCACTTCATATTATATACTGTAAAACCAGAAACTTTCGCGGAACAAAACTTTCGCGAATTGATAATTTCGGCCATGTATGTAATGAACATTTGATGTATCAATGACAGTCACTGAAGTGAACTGTAACAAACATGTTGTCCTTACTCAAATTAGTCTATGATTAAAATAATTCTTTGATTATTACCAGATTACAATTGTTGGATATCCAATCCTGTCGATGTCTATCGTAACCACTTGAGCACCGGCTCAAAGTAGGGCACCATTTACAATCAAAAGATGGATCAACATTTCCGCCAAAACAGTCACTGCAGCTTTTTTGCTGAGTGCACGCTGTAAAGAGAATAGACATAGATTAATGACAATAGACATGGACTACCACTACAACATGAGTGAAACTGGGCTGTGGTAGGGCGTTCTTGGCTCCCAATTTCTTAGTTCCAATTCTGACTTAAGAAAAATGTTCTCACACCTAAAAAAGCCTCATAAACAGACACAAATCTTGTTACAAAACACTGAGGGTCCCAAATGATCAGATAAACTGGATAAATAACTACATTTAAAACAAGATATAACAATAATAGTTGATTGATTGATTGAATTTATTCGGTGTAAACACCAAGGATAGCCCACGAAAGTCTAGAAGAAGACTTATTTCCAGTGGTATTATTTCCTACTCTTTTTCAAAGAGTGTACTGCATTCTTTAACGTGCACATGGGCCATAATGCACACAGGACCAACGGCTTAAACGTCTCATCCGAAAGACGGTGCGCTATTGTAACTTGTATTTCAGCCCTCTAGCTGAAACACAAGGAGAGGCAATGATGGGAATCTCCACGGTTCAGCGCACACACAGTGGCTACCACCAGATTAGCCGACTGAGCTAAGCTGTTCTCATGTTATGACATAATATGTCATATTATATGACATAATATATGTGAGGGGACACAACACCTCACAATTATGTAATATATGTGAGGTGGTGTGACAAAATGAGTCTTGTTGTATGCCAGGTCAATTTGATATATTCATTAAAATATATATGAAGCAATATTTCCACAAATATTAGGTTTTAATTTTCTGGTAATTGTGTATATTTCATGATAAAAAATGTTCTGAGTTGATAAAACCCAAGATAGGAAACTAATATAAGAACGCTAATTTTTCATTTTTTATACAAGACTCATTTTGTTATGACAGCCCACATATTAACAATAAAATTTGAAAAAAAGTAATAATATAAAAGTATGAGGACAATGATGATAATAAATAATATTAATTAATTTGCAAAAAATTGGAAAACTTACTTGGTAATGGTGTTAGAATGAATCCACTGGAGGGTTTAACCAACGTCTCATTCAACGATAACGTGTCATACCGATAGATTGTTCTCTTATACAATGATGAGCCTGAAAAAAATTTTTATATCATTTCATTTATATCACCACCATATATTATCAACATTACCTCCAGGCTTTTCCATTCCCTACGTATGCTTGCAATACAAGATTACTGGTGCTAGATGTTGGAATTTCCTATCTTTAATTCCATCAATACTGGCAGTTTCTAATCGTGATATAAATTATAAATTATTAAAAATATTTGCAAAGCAATAACAAAAAACATAAATATAATGGCCAAATGTATAACATATTATTGTAACTTTGTTAGCAATGTGCAATTATTCCAGAACAATTTTAAAACATTGTATAATACTTTTCAATATCTTGTAATGTTGGATATACCACTGAAGCGTTATCCTGGTAAAATGAGTTAAAAATAAATAAAATTCTCGGTGGATGTTGGCAACCTTATACTCTTCAATTAATGGCTAATTCAGATCAAAGCTTGCATCAGTAATCTCATGGTCTTGATTAATAGAATTTATTCAATATCATAAAAATTTAAGGGGACTAAAGCCTGTTTAGCAACTCTGCTTCCTCTAAATCCACACATTGTCTCAGGGTGTTGAATTCAAACTTTGCCTTGTTATTCCAAGATTTATACATCTGTTCATTGACTAACTTTTAAAGTTTGAGCTAGAAAGAACTTTGTAGCTCTGGCTTGGAAAATAATTATATTTCCTTGTTACATTTTTCCGTGGCTCACAGCAGAGGCAGGTGTCCTTAACAGCTGGGCCTGAAACCAAGCTGGCCCACCCAAAGCACTTCCCCCTGTTCTACACAACACATTAGTATTATTCATACTTTTGAAATTTTGATTAGTATAGTACAGTAGTAAAACGAATGCCAAATTACCTTCTGTCAGAGGTTCATCGTAATAGAAAGCATCTGACACGCCAACAGTCACCTTGTGCCCATTTCCACCACCAATCTCACTAAGGGGCAATGGAATCTAATGCAGAAATAGATAGAGGGTAGAGAAAATAAGATTATCCACATTTACAATACAAAATTCAATTTAGGTAATGTGTATGCATTGGAAGGAATCGTATTTTGTAAGATCATATGCTTTTGTTCTATCATAAAATTGGCTTGTTAGACTGAATAAAGAATTTGTGAGCAATAATATGAATTCAAATAAATATGGTATATGAAAACATGATGACTATTTAAAATAATAATAATAATAATAATAATAATGCAGTTATTTATAGAGCACTCTTATCAAGGATATTACAGCGCTTTACAAAACAAATAAAAGGTAAATGTTGTTTGAATATTTAAATATTAAATTTTTTATTCAGATTTGTGCTAGTCATCTTCCTGACAAGTCATTTATTTAATATTTAAATACTCAAACAGGAGTATGAAACATGTTCTGAAATGCAAATATCAATTGAAACTGATAGTAGACAATCATCTTACCAAAAATTTCATAATTCAAAACTTGTTCAAACCTAATACCCGATTCACACGATACAAAATTTTACATGGGATGCGTGCTAAATGTCACATGCACTACCTAAGATATCTATACCGAGTTACTATCGTCTTCACCTAAGCAAATTAATAACTTTGGGACATTAATATGTAGACAGTAAAAGATATTTGCGACATCACAGCAAAATATAAGCTGAATCCTGTCAGTACAGTATGTGCAGAACCACGCTAAATAATATCTTGAGAGTTTTACAGGCCTCTGAACTATCTGTTTTTCTTGCATGGATATCACACAGGCGGCATATTAATCTTATACGAATAGGCGTTCACACAAATACAATTCCTGATGATGACATAATTAATGAAAAAATATTGAATCCCAACACGATGGCATGTATTTCAGTATTTATTTATTTAATTTATTTACTTAAATACTTTTTTATCTGAGATTAATCAGTGGACTTTTCGGTTACAGGTATTACATTTTCTCTAGAATACGATTCATGTAACATTTTATCTTGTGTGAATCGGGTGTAAGCCTACTTACATTTTTGTATGCAAATAAAATACGCCCATCGTTCATTAGAGTAGTTTGAAATGTGAAGCTTCCAGCTGATGGCCGCAGGCGATTAACAGCAGAAAGAAATGGTTAGTCACATGACAAGCAAGCACAAATGAAAAACATTTAAAAAAAACATGAAACTGGAATACACATAATTGGATGATATGAAACAAAGACAACACTTAACTTGTAATTAAAACTGTTTGTGATTATTAATTAATATTTATTTATCTATTCCATTCCATCCATTATGTTGAGGTTTTGGTGTGGAAATTCATTATATGTCCTAATTGTTCCTTAATTATTTAACAATTTTAAGATTTATTTTGTGCATAATTACAACATCATACATGGGTAAATTGTCTGCCTCTGATATTTAAATGTATACTATATTATTTATTTCAACCAATTACGCTATGTATTTGAGAATATGGTGGTTAATACTAAATAGAGTTCTCATGAGGTCTAGGAAGATAGCCTATTCCATAATTTTTAGGGGTGTTTTGATAATTGATAGTGAATGTTGATTTATCTATAAAAGAAAACTCATATTAAGCACTAATTAATTATTTAAATTAATCAATGTATTTTTTGTGGGACTGTTTTCATTTAAAAATTTAAATGACAATTAACTAATACTGTATTATTTTATATTTCGGTACATTCTCCAATGTATTTGTATGTTTCCAGATATTACAGTAAAATTTTAAAAATGTAATACAAGGATTAAAAAACAAGACAATAACACAAATCTGAGACAAATGCAGACAATTGTAATGCTGACTGAATCATGCAAAATTTAAACACAACTTTCATATTAATGTTTTAATAAACTATGAACAAAAATGACAGAAAATGCATGCCTGTGACTATGGTAACAATTGAATTTGGAAGAACATTCTAATACTTAAAATTTTCTCTAGTATAGATAAGAAATAATTTTTCTTTTAATAAAACTCAACATACAAAATGATAGGCTCTGCTTAATTAAAAGAATGAATGATTAAATCTATCCTATTCTTACAGTAATGTTAAATAATTAATAATTACTTAAGTTGGTCATCTGTCAACACACTGTACTTGGCATGCGTGTCAAATGATATATACTGAAGTGAACCATTTTAATGAATTTCACGAGTACTGTACAGTATAGGGTATACCTGCACATGCGCAGTATACTCAATAGTGTGTGAATCCAGAATGGAACAATTAAAAGTCTGGTGTGACATTTGAACTTTCAACTTTTGTTAGGTAGACAGTTTAAGCTATTGAACTGCAACTGTTAAATATTCATGCAGAAATTAAAAATATTGCATCTGTGTAAAGCTTATTAAGTTTAAATAATAATATTTAATTGTATTTATTACTTTGCATTAATTTTAAAATAAAAACTGAACTATGAAAATATCTTCCTCCCCAAATAACAGGCTTATCATAACCATGGTACACTGGTCGTAATCTTTTTTAAAAATTTTCATAAACAGTCTGTAAATTTCAACAATTTTTCTTGATCATTGTTGATAACTCTTTAAAAGAGTAATTCAATTTTGTAATACCATTTTTTAAGAGTTCACTGATTTCAACAGACAATATATCTTTTATAACATAAACAGGACTTCCTAAAAAATTTAACATGCAATGTAAACAAAAAATATAATCTTTCCAATTAAATTATTAAATATTATTATCAATGTAAGATTGCATTTTTTATGTAACGGTACATAAACCTGGAATAAATTTACCAGACATTCAAATATTATAATATTCAAATATTATTATATTATTATTATAATAATTATTAAATAATTATTAATTATTATAATATTAAAATATTATATTGATTGTATTATGAATTTCAAAAATCCAATCTTGTAAGAAATCATTCCAAATGTCTTACCAGATTCTAAGTGCTGAATATGAACTTGCGACCATTCCACTGTGAAAGCTGTTCCTAGAATGTTATCAAATATTGAAATAATTTACATAACATTTAAAACAAATATTGGCATCAATATCTGCAAGTCCATTAAACTACATTGTATGCAATTGAATTAATAAACAAGAGATAAATTAAAGATGAAATACAGGATGGTAAAAAAAGTGTAAACAGATCACAAAATGATATGCTATTTGAAAGTTTTGGAACTAACACTGAAATGGATGTTATCATTATTTTGGAACTCTATTTTTCGTGTATTTAAAATGGACACTGCGCTAAAATTAAAATTAGCGCTTCAGTATTGTGATTATTCTCTCCGATAATCTGATTGAAATTTACTTGAGAAGGCTTTACAACACTTACCATTATTTCCGTAGCGTATTATTGAGCTATCATTCAATCTAGGATCAAAGCTGCCCATTAATGGTGCAACATACTGTGTAGCTGACAAATATTGATGAAAAAATGAACCCAGGTAAAGAAAACCTATAAGAAATCGGTAGAAAAAAAAATGGCTTCAAAATGTCACTAAAGTACACTATGGGATACTGTACAGTATGTTGCAACCATAATCATTATGAACATTACCAGACTAATCTACAGGCAAAATCTACAAAAAAATGATTGCCTAGTAAAGATACCAAGAAAATTCCCCGTACAGCTTTACCTAGTTGTCTCTTAACCTAGGAGTACAAGTTTGTACCTGGTAGGTTCCAACACAAAAAATGCGCTATTACAGCTGCAACATTATGGAATTCTTGCCAGGGGTTTGAGCATGTGTTCCATACGCTTGATTCAATGACCGGGGATAATAATGTTAAGCACATAGAGGCCTTCTACAAAATGCACTATATTAAGTCAACCATTATTATTATTAATTTCATGCATTAAATTCTTATCACATGACTCTAAAGTAGGGAGCAACAATATATTTTGTGCAAATGGACTAGTAGCTGCATTGCTTTTCATCTCACTGGTATTGGGGGAAAAATAGGAATAAATAAGAACTTATCAGAGGCAGATTGTTATAAGCAGTCTTTAGATGGTCTTAGCGCTCAGCCGGCTATAATTGTGACGTTACTGCTGGTTATTATACCGCTATAGCGCGGTCTAACTAGTTACCCATCTTAAATTTAAAGCCTACTCGGAGGAGGCTTAAAACGGTCTTAAATCATTTTCATCACAGCATTATATTACAGGTAATAGACCTAGGCACAGATCGTCAAAGACCAAGAATTGAACGGCAAATATTCCACAAACTTTTCAGCATCTGTAAAATCCAGTCTTTGTTACGTTCATTTTGACACATGTGCATTGTTTATACATGAATTGAGTAAGCATGACGTACTGGTGACAAATGTGTAACAGCCCCTGCAATTTTATGTTACCAGGCAGTGCCTGTTAGCGTTTCAGTACTCCCCATCATGGTCTAAACGAAGACCATTTTATAGCAAAGGTCTTAGCGGAGTGACTTTAGTATTTGAAGAGTTAAGACTACCAGTTAAGACCGTTTTATAGCAATCCGCCCCAGGACTGGGGCTTTATTATTTGTTTGTGCTGTATGTATTATACTTACCTCCCGTAGCCAGTAATACACTTGAGACCTCATGTCCATAAAATATGAATTTGAAAGGCAAACTTATTTTCTATGGATAGATGAGAAAGACATTTACTCTTTACTACCTGTATGTATGTCAATAACTTGGTATCTCAATAAAAAAAATCTTAATTTTATGTTCGTCACAACCTATTTTTGGGGTATTTTTGGGGTAAAAAGGCCATTTTTTGTATAAAAAAATTGCTAAATCCCGCAAACCCCCCCAAAACACACTGCAAATCCCATCCAAACCCTGTGATAGTGACTGAATCATGTAGTATAGGACTCACTTGGTATCTCAGTCAAAAAAAAATTATAATGTTCCATTCGTAACAATCTACTTTTTGGGTAAAAATGCCATTTTTTGTATAAAAACATTGCTAAACCCTGCAAACCTCCAAAAAAAAAAAAAAAACACCGCAAACCCCATCCAAACTCTGTGATAATGATTGAATCACATAGTATAAGACTCAACTTGGTATCTCA